TAGACATGTGCAGCAACAAGAAAGGTAATTAATTAATTTACCTATTAGTTCAGTGACTATGACAGGCATAGCATTTCCTGAAGCAAGGGTGAAGTCAAGGAGATGAGGTTTGCATTGATCCTACTATGGGGAGGTTGGGTGGCCTGTTTCTGTGTTGACCAGGCATCTCTTATAATATGATTGTTTTCAGTTGCTTCTAACCTCATTAAATGTTTGCCATTCAAGTGTATGTTTGCAGGCAGGGTTCTGTGAAACTAACAGCAAGTGCTCATGTAACCAAATGCCTAATCTATGTTTGCTTAGCCTGATATGTCATCAAATTCTTCCCAAGTACGTTAACGTACAGCTAAAATGCTAACTAGGGTCTCAGACCCAATCTGAAGGTTGCCTGGGAAGTTGGGCCAGAGATCAAGGCTGAGGTCCTGGCACCCAGCTATTGCTGTATGTGCATTAAAATTAGTTAGAGCTCTCTATGTGGAGATCGTTGACTCCTCTGAAAGATTTTGTGTATCTTTCTGCTTATTGAAGAGTTACTGTTATCCCTGCTGTCATTCCTGGAACTTCCTCCTCCACTCTTAATAATCAGAACTTGAAATGAAATCTTCACCCCTCCAGTAGGGGCAGTGAAAGATACTGCTCAGATCCAAAATAAGAAGCCCTACCTTACCAACACTCTGCAAAAGTGCTGCAGAGGTAGGTCTGAATCACTCAGAATCTCTCTGTCATGTATCATGTGTTATGCAAACTGCACCAAACAGCATTACTTGTGATCGCCAGGAAACCCTCAAGCAATGTAAGTTGAACTATATCAGTGCCCTGGTAATTCAGGTGGCTGTCATGGATTCTATTCAATCAGCTGGGCTATTCAATCACCCAGACATTTGAACATAATGTATTAAACTTGCAATAATACAATAAATCCACCTTTGAGGCCCTTAGTGTTAGATGCCAAGTGTGGTGGCCACACGGTGCAAAGCACTGGTACTTGCTCTGCTTGTTCACGTGTATTTGGCAGGATAATGTAATGGGAGACTTTATTGCTAAATTGGGGTATAATCTCTTTGTGTCACTCTGGCTTCATGCTAGATTAGATACCGGATATTTTTTTTTTGGTGGCTAGGTTAGACATCCACATGACAACCACAAAGGTGTTGAATTTTGTTTTCCATCTAAATAGACAGAGATGTGGTGGTGGTTTGCATCAGATTATACTGCCTGGTGATCTGGTTCACTGATCCAGCATGAAGAATCATGTAACCACTGCCTTAGCCATCAGATAACTTGTTGATTCAATATTTAAACATACTTAATAAGACTGTTGTTGCCTGGAGCTATACAGAAAGGGATGTATAATTGGCCCTATTAGTTAAAAATAAAGAATCAGTCATTAGTTCATGTCAGCTTACTCAAAATGTAACATAAACCCTGGAAAATTGTCTGTCGTCTGGATGGGTTCAACACATGAGATGTATGGTCTGCCCACAAATCAGCAGCGTATGCTGGAAAGCAAGTACAGAATGTGTGTGTCAGGTGGCAAGTTCATGGATGTATCTTCTGCATCATGTTTCCAATATCCTCTAACTAACTTCTGACTGCGGGCATTTTCAGCCTCCCTCATAGATTTTTGTGAATAATGCTATATTTGCTACACATGTACTTTTTTATTTTGCTGTGTTACCCAGTCTGTTGTACCCTTTTTCCTCAACGTATCTGTGTGTCAGAGAGTTTGATTCAGAACACTGAGGGGAGGAAAGGAGGGTGTGGGTACACACTGGCACTGCTGTCTGTTTGTCCTGAAGCAAATGGGTAAGGTCAAAAAATGAACTTTACACTCCAAGCAAAACATCACAAGGCTTGTGAAGAGGCCAGTGATGTCCCTGGGGTCGTGTGGGCACCTGCAGAGGCTGCTCAGAAAGCTCTGGCAGCTGCATTAGCATTTTTTGCTGTGTATTGGAAAGCTGTGTCAGAAAAGGCAAACTGTCCTGGTCTCCATTCCAGAGCTTTCATTGATCTTCTATGTACATAAGTCCTAGCAACCTTGAAGATCACATTTTAAATCATAAACTCATTTGGGTCTCATTTGCTTTGTGTGGTTTTTCTAATCAGCTATAGGAATGAACTTGTAAAGACTGCATCCAGCTGGGACCCTTTAAACTCATTTAGGAGCCTTTGTGCATGAGATACCAGGTTTGGTGGCTGCTTACTAAAGCTCTTGTAACCCCCACCGTGAATTCTTGTTTGACTTCCATGAGCTGCTATGACCATTGCTATATAATACAAACTGTAGCTATGTCAGATGTCCCATTTGAGATGTGGCCTATTCTTTATACAAAGAGTGAAGCATTTATGTAGTCAGGCAAAGCGGAGCACTGTGTATCACTCCAAAAAGCCATGGAATTGACAAGCAAAACAGGTCAGATTTTCTTTTTATCATACCTGAGCTCTCTTCTAGTTCATTAGTGTGGGTTATATTGTAATAGTACTACATGCTGCAGTGAAGATCCCTATTGTGTTATACTCCATATAAACAAAGAGAATAGCACAGACTTTATAATACAATTTAATTTACAATGAAACAATTGTTCGTAACAATGGAGAAGAGAATAATAAAGACATCATTAGTGCATATTCTGATGCTTATTGTGGGTATTGCTTTGGGGTCTGAGTCATTAGAAAGCTTTATACAAATATTTACTTATAAATAAATATTAGCAAAGCTTATTGTATGAAGATAGAAAATAAGACAGTAATTTTTATTTCCAAATAGTATACAGCATTTTTGGCCCAAAGTAAAATGTGCAGTAGCTAACAGGTTGACTAGCACAAAGGTAAACATAAATGGTTCTTGAGGAACACAGGAAGACCTGGAACAGATATTTAATGGTAGCTTTTTTAACTTGTGTAACTGGATGGCAGTATAATATAGTTTTGGCATCTTTTGTTGATATTTTTACTCACTGATATTTTTCAAGGATATTGTTTCAGACATGGTTATCTTAAACCACTGCTCAAAAGTGTTGACAGGCACACATATTGTTGTGAGGTTACGAGTGGTTCTCTTCACTGTTCACTTCCCATGGCAGTTCAGGTGTCTCATATGCAGCACTGCTGCTTTTGGCTTAACCCCTGTGTTTGAAGATTGCACTTGGTTTTTCCGTTTTTAACTTTTATGGGCTGAGTTGTGTTAGCATATAGGGCTTGATTGTGTCCTGTAGGATCAGCTGCAATTCTTTGGGCTTTGAAAGCCAAGCAGGTAGACTAGGATATCGTTTCATGCCCTTTTGAAATCAGAAGACTGACAAACTTTTTAAAAAAGAGTACACCAATTCTGTTGTACAATGTTGTTACAGGTTATTATTTAGAGCCTAGTAGGAATTCACCTCAGCTTTCAACGTGTTGTGATTTTTGTTTTGTCATTCCTCTTTTCCCCTACTTTGTTTACCTTTAAGTTTAGCAATGTCTATATATTTTCCTGAAATGATTTTGTAATGGTTTTGAGATGTGCCTTGTGATATCTCAGGGGAGGCAGCTGTTGAATACTTCTGAAAGGTTCACTTGTGGTGATATTTAAGGTTGGTTCTAGGGTGCCTTGCTGTTTTGGGTCAGGGAGCTCTGGGCTTTGCAGAGCCAAGTCTTGAGCATCACCTGGCTGAGCAGCTTCAAGGACTGAGAAGGCACATTATTAGCCACGTAGCTGCTTTCTTGAGTTGCACTTTTGAGTAGTTCTGCAGCCCTCTTACGTGCTGTAACAGGTAATGTTTCCTAGGAAGTCTGTGGTAACATTTCTCCCTGTCAGTGGGAATGTTGTGTATTCAGCATTTGTCCTATTAGGTGATATAGAAGCTATTTGAGATTTCTCTCCAAGCAAAACTGAAAGACATTCCACATAGTTTGCTTATAAATCTTTGATTCATCCAGGGGCTGGGTGCCTACTGGTGATGGAAAAAACATGATTTGAAACCCAGCACTGAGAGACAGCACTGTGTGTTCCTGCGCTGAGCAAAACGGGATGTCTCAGGTCCCTGGATCTAGCCCTTCCATACACTCACTGATGCAGGAAGGACTAAGGGCTGTTGGTCCCATGCTGCTGCTGACACCCACAGCATCAGCACAGCTACTCCAACACACGGCTCAGTTACTCATCGAGGGACCAGTGGGTGTCATTTGGTCTCCTGCCGTGTCCTGCAGCACTCAGTCTGCATTTAAAGCCCATGTTATGGCCTGGATGCAGAGACTGATTTGATTTAAGTGGATGGAAGAGGGGGACAGGCTACCTCTAACCTTCAGTGAATTGTCCAAGCTCAGAAAATGAAGTTGCTGTGTCCTGCTGGATTACAGCTTTCATCTAGAGTTTGGCTTCTGAGAACAAGGAGGTCATTCCATCATCAGGTCTGCTCTGGTTTTGCAGTGAATATTCCCTTTTCATGCAAAGGTGAAAATTATATTCCATCAAATAAAAATTTTGCACTAAATTGTGTAGAAGGAAATATAGCTCATTTGAGTGGAGACTGCAACTGAAAACACAGTTCAGGCCAGGGACTGGCATGAGCGGGGGAGCTTCACTGCAGGCAAATGAGCTGCAGTGATTGGCACCAGTGACGTGTGTGACTTACATGTATGTGTTACACCATTTGTGGGGAAAAAGGGTATCATGTGCTACGATGTCACTGCTGGGCAAAATACCCTGAAATAAATGAATCCAGACATATGGCCAAATTCTGATGACACTCCTGCTTCAACAAATTTTCATAAACTGCATTTGAAATAAACCCCCCCTCTTTATGGCGTAAAGGCGAACAGTGTTTCCTAGCCCAGCCTTGCAGTTTCACATCACCTGCGATGTACCCTGATTCCCTCTCTGCCTGTTTTTTTTCTCTCTCTCCCTTCAGATGGCCAGTAACCCATGTGCCAGGCAGCCCCGGCACCCGCTCGCCATGCCAGCTGGAGTCAGCCCCTGCCACTGAGGTGGAGAGGAGGTTGGAATCGCCCCAGCCCGCGCCATGGCCTCGCCGCGGCAGGCCCGGCATGCCGGCCCTCCCGACGGAGGCTGGGGGTGGATGATCGTTGCCGGCTGCTTCCTTGTCACTATCTGTACCAGGGCCGTGACGAGGTAAAGGGGCTGCTTCTTGTCTTTCTGACCTGTTTGTGGCATTACCCCCTTTTTATACCTTTTTCCCTAGGAAGAGGATTTGGGATCTCCCTTGATGTCCCACAGCTGCAGGGGTTATTCTGGCTAGCTACAAACCTCTCTCTTGCTACATTTCTAAAGGCTTCCTGAACTCTCTAAGAGTGTGGGGACAGCTGAGGAACTAGGAGACCTCTGGTTTTAGTCTCGCCTCCTCTGACAGCTGCTGTGTCTCTCAACACCCTCTCCTTGATCTTTTTTTTTTTTTTTTTTTTTTTTTTTTTCAGAATCAAAGGCTTGGACAGGCAGCTTTATTTCAGGCTGTGGTGGTTTGGTCGGGGAGGGAGGAATCACATAGGGTCTATTTGTGTCAGCTGTGTCCGTCTGACCCCACAGCCGTGCTCATTTTTGCTAGTCCCAGTGGATTTGCTTGACTCCCGAGTCTATCTGAGAAACCTGTAAATACCCGCCTCTCCTACTGCAAGCACTTCAGGTACCATCCTTACTGAGAGAGTTTGTGCCCTAGAGAAGAGGCCCTTCTCTATATCCTTCTGGTATCTGAAATATGCAGACAATATTTTCACAAAAATAGAAAGAACAGGAATAGATTGCTGCCTTGCATAAACATAATGTATACATCTGGGGTGAGATGGCTTCCACAGCTGCTGTTGGGTGACTTTGATGTCAGCTGGAGGCAGAGGAGCCTGGTGTGTGTGAACATGGACATTTAAGCTATATTAAGCAGAGAGATATGCACCCTGGTAAGTGAGGAACACTGAGGCAGTGTCTTGTTGGACAGTCGTTATAAAGTAAATAGAGTGTTTCCTACCTACATTTTATATTTCTTTTAAAATAAAGCTGTTAGTTTTAAGGATCTAAAGTCTAGGGTCTTGGAGTCAACATCAGAAAAGGGGCATGGAAACAACACAGTGATAGATTATGCACCCAGATATACCAGTTCTGTAATAACAGTAGAGATTTCCTAGTGGATTTAACTCCTTTTTCACGTGTGAAGTCTGTGACATCCAAGAAATCATCTAATGGCTGGCACACATTTAGACTGTATACAAGAATAAAGTTATGTGCAAGAAAACAGCTGAAGAAAGTGGTTGTTTGTTGATTCGCAGGAGGAAAAAAGAGAGGGGGAAAAGGGATCTCTTGCTGATCCAGAAACCAGAATGAAACTATGCAACCTTTTAAACCATTTCCCTGCAGAGATAGAACAGTAACACTTGTTATGCAGAGCAAAGTAACCTCTTCTGGAAGCATTTTAATAAACTGTTGGAAGGTCCATGGGCTCCTGCTGTGTTTTGATTCTCTGTTCATGAGGAGTTGCTTTGCACTTGTGCATCCATGACCACATAGCTATAGGTGGTGTTGGCTCTATGGGTATTATGTTGGCCCTGCTCTGCCAGTTTTTCCAGATGTGAACACTACCATTAGCCAGCAACCAGTTCAGTGAAGAACTGGGGAGCTGTGGCTTTGTGTACTAGGGAAGCAACATCATGATGTGAGGTATAAATTACTCATGATAATTAAAACTTCAATTTCATTTCAGTTAAAAATTAATATGAGTTATAAAAATCTAGCAGCAGACACCACAGTGAGAAACATGCAGTATTATAATGTTCATAATCTCTCTGGAGTAGTTATTTGTCTGAATTAGGTTCTACATCAGCCTAATTGTCTAATCCTACTGCTGGGATAATAGTTTGACACCAATTTGTGATTCAGTTGTTGCCAGTGTAAAGCAAAGGTTCTTCTCTGGTTGAATCACCCTAGCCTAGGTGCCTTACACAGAGTACTGTTGCAGTTATTCAACTTGCACACTTCATTTCTTATCTTGTCCCTCATGCATTAAGGTAGCCCTTAATTTCCAATGTCCCTTTTAAACTGTTTAAAAATTTCTCCATCTCATTAGGATTTAGGCAAACCACAGAATTGATTTTCCTGGGATCTGAGGAGGACCTTCAAGTGGGTACTCTTTATACCTGAAGAACAAGACCAGTGTTTTCTGTGAGGCAAATATCCCATTTTCAACAGATTGGTGTTCATTTTTTCTTTCCTAGGTGCATCTCCATTTTTTTTGTGGAGTTCCAGGCATACTTTGGGCAGGATTATGCCAGAACAGCTTGGATCCACTCCATTGTTGACTGCGCTACGATGCTTTGTGGTGTGTATTAACTGTTTAAGACTAATGTGGCTGCTTTTTCTTTAGCTTCATCTGGTTTTAACATGTTCACAAGTTGGGGGAGTTAGCTGGGAAAGATAGATACTGTGGAGTCCCTGGGGTATGGTATATCCAAGCTGCTTCCCCCAGCATAGTTGTGCAGGAAGGGAGTGTCTTCATACTACAGAAAAGAAGCAGAAATTTGTGTTGTCAAATGATCTAAGTTTTCAGAAATGTACTTTTATTGAGGTCTAGTGGGACAAGTCGTGTTTGAGAACTACTAACTGAGCACTTGTTTCTTTTGCCTTTTGATTGGAATCATGTTTGAGACTTAGCACAGGATGTACATCTTGCCTTCAGATCAAGTCACAGTCATCCTCCTTTTAGCAAACTTGTATGTTTACAAACAGTCTTTTTCCTTAAAAGAAAATTCAGTGTTACTAAAAATGACATGCATCAATGCAACAGTTGTACCAATTTTCTCATGGGTTTACTTTAAAACCATGCAGCTAGGTGAAAACCCATGCCCTAATCCTGTGAAAGAGGGTTAATCCATGAAAATTGATATGAAGGCACAGGGACATAGCTAGAATGAGACACAGCAATTCTCCTGTGTCAGCCAGGCGATATCTTGGGGAAAAGAGATAAATAAGGATAACCTTGCCCTGGCATTGCAGGTAGTGGAGACAGAGAGAGCTGATGATGACACTCTGTGGTAGAAGCAGGGTGATCTGTGAGCCATCAGTGTTGGAGAAGTGTGGGAGAGGGGCAGCAGCTCTGGAGATGGTCCAAAAGATGTGAGACCTCTCCTGTTTGGATCTGATGCAGAGCCTACAAGGCCAGGGAGGAGTGAGGAAGGATGCCTGAAGTTACTGAGGGCTGAAGTGCAAATTCCAGGTGGGGGAAGGTCTCTGTTCTAAGTGTGGAGTAATGAACAGTATGGGCTGTCACTGTGGCCTCTCTTGACCCCAAAAACTGCAGAGTAGCTGTGTCCTGTGATGACTTTGATCTACTAAAATGTCTGCTGAGAAAGCTACTGTAAATTTCAGTTTTATCCCAACTTCCAGGAAAATGGTTTTTAGAAGTTTTTTGGTACTCACATCATTGTGATGGGGGGCTGTTGGAAGACCGTTCTATATAGCTGTTATCACCATTTTCTCCTGCTTACCTACTGCTTCCTTTTCCTTGATGACCATTGCAACAAACTGCGTGTGAGGACCTGCTATTAACTACCAGCTTTATTTGTTTCTTTGAAGCCCCGCTTGGGAGTTTAATCAGTAATCATGTATCCTGTCAAGTTGGTATCATGCTAGGAGGGCTGCTTGCATCTGCTGGACTAATTTTGAGTTCATTCGCCACCAGCCTGGAACACCTCTACTTATCATTAGGAGTCCTTACAGGTAGGAAGCATTTGGACCCTTTGTTCCTGCCAGGAAAGCAACATGAGAACATTAAAAATTATGATCCTTCCTTTCAAGAGGGATGATCTCTTCTCTGTGTCATACTGCTACAGCGCTGTCCAACAGAGATGCTCAGACCTGTTCCCTTCATTGTAAAAGAGAGGCTTTGGCTGCCCCTGTGAGGACTTCATCTCTCAGTGAGTCTCACACAGTCCAAACGCAGCACCCTGCAAAAGCAATTCTATCTTCTGTGAGAGAGAGGACTATGATTAAAGTTCTGAAATTATGGGAGGTCAGGAAGGACTGCTGTTGCTGGTGATACCCAAAAGGTTTCATTTTTTTGTCTGTGATTTGGGAAGAGTTTGTTATAGTAGAAGTTCTAGACTGCCCCAAAATATTGGCATATTAAAAAAAAAAATAAATGAAAACATAAGAGTAAGTGGGCAGAGGAGCTCTGGGTGGACACCTGGTACCTCAACTGTGCACCTTATTTTTATCTGCATTACATTCCATATGAAAAGCAAACAAATTGCTGGTTGGCATCATTGCTGTAGCAGCTCTTCCATTTGCGTTCAGGTATGATGGTAACAAATATCTTTGCTCTGTCCTGTCTCCCTGTTTGTTGTGCACAGAGGAACTTGAGAGGTGCCCATGGTCACATTGACATTCCTTCCTCATTAATACTGACCTGGTAGCCACGGTGATATAAGCCCTTGTACTTGGTCCCCTGCTGTCTAATAACAAGTTGGTGGAATTACTGCAATTCACATGCTGCCAACAGCTTATTTGTTTAAAAAAAAAAAAAAATCCTTATTGTAGGGCATGTAACTCCTGTATTACAATGTTAATCTCTGACAAATGTGTTCATAACAAGTAAAAAGGGTTCTTGTAACGCAAGGGACTGTGCCACATACCATACTAATGCCACTGAGGCTTCCTTAGCAAGAATGGCTGTGAATGCTGAGGTGGAAAAGCAGTTGTGCTTTGTACCTGAGGTTGTAAAGAGCCAGTTCTACAAGCAGCAAACTTCTAGTCTGTGGGGACTGATTAATGGAGAGGTGAACTGTTGGTAAAGGCTAGAGGTGGTGCCCCAACCCAGAGAGGAGGTGGGGGCATAACTGATGAAGGTCTAAATCCATAAATGCTGCAGGACTTAAAGCTGTGAAGAGTGAAGCAGAGGTGAGATGAGGGAGTGGCAATAAGTAGCAGGGTTCCTTCTGAAAGATATGAAAATGTTTTCAGCCCCAAAGTTTTCATTTCCACTTTTCACAGGACATTTATTGACCTTTTTGATGCCTATTTCCCCCTTCCAACTCACTGAAAAACAAATGGTATATATGCCATATGATTTTCACAGCTCTCGAGTTATGATGTCTAGCTCAGGGCTGCTCCTCCGACTCTGCTGTCCACACAGGTCCAACCCCAGCTCTCTGCCCTGCTCCTCCCTTTGCCTCCTGAGGGGTGCCAGAGCAGGCACCCGCCACCCGGAGTCCCTCTAATCCACTTATCCCTTCCTGGCAGCCTTAGTGCCCACCCTCACAGTGTGGCTTTTCAGGAGGACAGAGCAAGCTGGTTAGGACGCTGGGTGATTACCGCCTCTATCAGCAAGTTCTGCCAGAGGCAATGGGGACCTTTTCACCCTCAATGCAGGACACCTCCAAAACCCTAGTCAGGAACTCATTTCTGTGGCTGATTCAGAAATATATGTTTTAGTGTTAGAGCAAGCACTTGGTGATTAAAATCTGTTCTCTGGTTCTGCAGCAGAGACCACAATCTGTTCCCAGTCCAAGAGATGGATCTTATTTGTTTACTAAATTGAACATGGCTTTGTTTTCTGAGGCTATTCCCCTCCTGTTCACTTGTAGGCAAGAGATTTAAAATGGTCAGGACTCCAAGCAGCTGCTGTGTGCAGTTTGTTTAACTGACTAAAAAAGGGGTTTTTTGTACAATATTACTAACAGAGAGAGACTCTTTGTACTGTGTTTTAAAGACTTGAGAATGAATGTTCAGGGTTGCAACAGACTGAAATGCAAAGTGGTGCCTCATCAGGACTGTGTGCCCAGTGCCTGCATCTGTGCAGACCCTGGGGCAAGACCTCATCTTGCATCCAGAAGAGGCTGACACGCCATTTGTCTGAAGTTTATTGATTGTCCTTGTTCTTGTTATTAAACAAACCCCAACACTTCTTTCTGAGTCTTGTTATTCTGGATTAGTGATGATCTGTTAGGTTTGTCAAGTCAGTGACCCTGGCAGCAGAAGAAAGGAGTCATCCTGGTTTATCCTCACACTGTGACTGGGCTGCATGATACAGAATCAGAAAAAGCTTCCTATTCACTTGTGCTAATGAAAGCAGGTTATGTGGTTTAATTTAATGTGTTCCATATGTCATGCTTAGTATTAAGCCATCTGCATTGTGCTTTCTCTTCTAGGACTTGGGTTTGCACTCTGTTATTCTCCAGCCATCGCAATGGTGGGCAAATATTTCAACAAAAGAAAAGCGCTGGCGTATGGAATAGCCATGTCAGGAAGTGGAATTGGTACTTTTATCCTGGCCCCCGTGGTCCAGCTTTTAATTGAGCAGTTTTCTTGGCGTGGAGCTTTACTCATCCTGGGAGGTTTTGTTTTAAACCTCTGTGTCTGTGGTGCCTTGATGCGACCTATTGCTCTTAAGGAGGACCATAAAACTATTCCTGAGTTTCTTGAACAGGATTATGTCTCTGAAGCACAGAAACAAGACTTAAAGCGGATGTCCATCTGTTCACCTTTAATCAAAATGTGGTCTCACAAATGTTTATGCTACTGTTCCTGGAAGGAATATGACTTTTTACTGATGCCAAGCTTCATGGTGCTGGCAGTGTCAGTTTTATTTATGGCATATGGCTGTAGCCCTCTTTTTGTCTACCTAGTGCCTTATGCTTTGAGCGTTGGAGTGAGTCATCACCAGGCTGCCTTCCTCATGTCCATACTTGGTGTCATAGACATCATTGGTAATATCACCTTTGGATGGCTAACAGACAGAAGGTAATGGCTTATGGATAAGCAAGTGTAAGCTTTAGATGGTGGGAGGCTGGATGCAATTGAGGTATAATACATATAATTGTTACCATTATGGACTTTTTCTGTAGCATGTGTAACTTTAAAAAAAAAAAAAAAGAAAAAAAAAAGAAACAACACACAGTCTAACTTTCAGAAATGCTTACTGCTTCATGGTTTTGTCTTTTCTGAGTTTGTTCAATTCTGCTGATTTAATTTATTTTTTTCCCGAAGAAATGATGTGTTTGTGCAAAGCTCTTGCATTTGACAATGGAAATGTAAGCCCCTGCCTGAAGTACGTTGAGCGTGATCCTCTGTACCTGTTTCCTAGAGGATCTCACTCTACTTCCTCTGTCTTTCCATCCCTTTTGTGCTGCTGGGGAGGCACAGAAGTCATGGAAAAGGGTCAAGGGTCCAGCTCAACACTGTCAGGCACATACTCAGAAGGACTGACTTAAAACTGTTACACATTTTCCAGTATGTGAAAACTCACTGTGCTTTGCTAACAAAGCTCACTCCAAACAACTGTGTACAGCATCTGTAGCATCAGCAGAGACTGACTAAATTAAGAAGGATTTTGATTCTAAAGGACACATTCTTGGTGCTTACTCAGTTTGTGGGGAAAAATCAATTATTGATTTTGTGGGGCAGGGAGAAAGGGAATTGCCATCTCATTTACCTCACTCTAACCCAGTGTTTAAGGGCTGATGCAAAGGATGACAGCTAAGAGAGGTATAGTGTAATATTTTTTGCATAATAATGACAGCACCTTGCTGAGCTGGGATATAAAGCCTGGTGGAATACTGCTTTCAACACAGAAACTTCAGAGGGCTGCAAAATCCTGGCAGTGGAGTGGCTCCCCATACTAAAAGCAGCCCAAAGAACACTGCAGGCAGCATGGATTGCTGCTTACCAGATGTTTCTGCAACTGTAGGTGGGCATCTTTCTCTAGCTGGGCTCCTCAGTCCTGAGCTTTTCATCATGAAGACTATGAAAGAACATAGACTTAAATTTGAGCCATGTAAAAGAGACACTGAAGTGCTGCATGCCAGGGCATAGGAACTGAGATACTATGTCCAGTGATAATGTTTTTCTTTTCTGTTTTGAAATTTGCAGGTGTCTGAAGAAGCACAGGCACTTTTGCTACCTCTTTGCTGTGGGAATGGATGGCCTCTGTTGTCTTTTCCTGCCAGTTCTCCAAGACTTCCCTTTACTTGTGCCTTTCTCATTTACCTTTGGCTACTTTGATGGAGCCTATGTAACACTGATCCCTGTTGTGACAGCAGATGTAGTGGGAACTTCTTCCTTATCATCAGCACTGGGTGTCGTGTATTTCCTGCATGCCATACCATATCTAGTGAGCCCACCTGTTGCAGGTCAGTTCACAAATTACTTTCCTATAATATTATCACTACTTCAAATTTACCTGTTGGTGTGATGTAAAAGGAGAGGAAGGTCAGCAAATGCACACTAGATGTGGAGGTAGCCCCTGGGCAGAGGAATAACACACCTAGACCTTCATAAAACTTAAGATCCCACTTAAGCTCTGTCTTGATGGGATGATTTCTACATATAGAGCAAGTTGAAATTTAAAAAAAACAAAACAGTATGGAATAGGGCTTCTAGGAGCTGTTTCATCACCACTTCACACAGATCAGAAATTGTGCAAGTAGGAGGAACAAAAGATTTCACTGTGAAATTACACTATTTTGAAAATGTAACCTAAAGAGAGTTTCATTCCAAGGTTTTTTTGTTGTGGAGGGCTTGATCTTTTCATCTCTAAACTGCTTTGAAAAGATTGGTGAGTCAGCTTTACTACTGCTTGGTCACAAGCTTATCACTGAGGCCAAGTGCAGGATCCTGCACCTGGGATGGGACAATCCTCGTTATCGATACAGGCTAGGAGATGTGCTGGAAAGCGGCCCTGAGGAAAAGGACTTGGGGGTAGTAGTGGATGAAAAGCTGGACATGAGCCACCAATGTGCACCTGCAGCCCAGAAAGCCAACCACATCCTGGGCTGCATCAAAAGAAGCGTGGCCAGCAGGTCGAGGGAGGTGATTCTGTTCCTCCACGCTGCTCTGGTGAGACTTTACCTGGAATACTGTGTCCAGTTTTGGAGCCCTCAACACAAGAAGGACAAGTGCCTGTTGGAGCAAGTCCAGAGGAGGCCACAAAAATGATCAAAGGGCTGGAGCACCTCTCCTATGAGGACAGGCTGAGAGAATTGGGGCTGTTCAGCTGGCGAAGAGAAGGCTCCGGGGGGACCTTATAGCGGCCTTCCAGTACCTGAAGGAGCCTACAAGAAAGCTGGGGAAGAACTGTTCACAAAGGCAGGTAGCAATAGGATCAGGGGTAATAGTTTTAAACTAGAAAAGGGTAGATTTAGGTTGGATATTAGGAAAAAATTATTCAATATGTGGGTGGTAGATCATTGCTACAGGTTGCCCAGAGAGGTAGTGGAGGTCCTGTCCCTGGAGATATTCAAGGTCAGGCTTGATGGGGCTCTGAGCAACCTGCTCTAGTAAAGATGTCCCTGCTCACTGCAGAGGGGTTGGACTAGATGACCTTTAAGGGTCCCTTCCAACCCAATAATTCTATGGTTCTATGATTTTCCCAATCGGTTCCATTACAATGAATAAGGATGAGAGCTGTATTCCTGTTGTTCTTTAGAAAGAACTTGACACAGTTTTGAATATTGTGGAAGGTCAGAGATCTTTTTCAAACAGACATGTCTTGCATGTTTGTCTGCTGTTCACATCAGTTCACAATTAATCTCTACTTCTGAAGCTTTTAATTTAATTTTCCATAGAAATAACTGTTACAAAATAGAATTAAGTGGTGCATGAGCTTAGGGCATAGCTCACTAGATGTTTCTTTATAAGAATCTCATACAAGCAATATTTAATCCCAGGGTTCTCTAAGCATGTCTAAAGACTTGACAGTTAAATCCATGCAGTTGAAAGATGTTTATTTAGTATTGTGGTGATGACTACTGTGCTTTTTCTCATGGATTTGATCTACAAACAAAAGCCCATAAAAATCTTATCTGCCTGCTGAAGAAAAATCCTTCCCTGATCCAGGAGATAAAATTATGGTGATGTAAACCTGTATTGTTTGACTGTATTTATCTGTGGTAAATCCAGACATTTATAAACCTCCTGTTGATCACAGGATTTGTAAATTATCAGAATTCTGGTATTCCTTTAAAAACCCATGATTTTTTTTTTTATTTCCTACAGGCTGGCTTGTGGACACAACTGGCAGCTATACTGCATCATTCCTCCTGTGTGGATTTTCTATGATATTTAGTTCAACGTTATTGTGCTTTGCAAGACTAGCAAAAAAAATCAAAAGAACGCATTTGTGGTCACTCACCAATAATATGGGCAGAAAACAGCACATCTGGACAAATGGAGCAATAGCTTATTCTGTTACAGCAGAATTAGACCAAAAGGATGTTGAATTTTTGGCTGTGGATACAGACAGCTACAGCCACAGGTGACAAGTGCCATCAAGATTCAGTATTGCACAGCCGTGACTGAGATGGAGGTGGCTCTATAGGTTAGGCTGTTGAAGATATTACTCCTGTGAAACAAGGCATCTCTCAATCAGATTTTTATTGTCGTGTTTTATTTGGCTAAAATCTACATACAGCTGCAGTAATGCCAAGTTAATGCAGTAACAGAAGAAAGCTAGACTGAAAATAGGGTTTGTAGATACAAATGTTCACAGATTTATTTGAAATGCAATATGTCGACTACACAGGTAATCTCAAAGATTATAATTGGCTATAATCAAAAGAAAACTATAAAGTAATCAATCACCAAAACTGAACAGTAAAGTTTAAATTATTTCAAAAATAGTATTAATGAATAAGCTTTTTGGTGTTCTCGTCTATTACGTTTCAATGGAGTAATCACACACACCACCAAAAAACCTCCACATTTATTAGTCTGCATTAAACTCTTTGCAAATAACTGTTTCAAATGTCAAAGCCATTTTTTTAGAAAATCTGGCAAGAAACTGTGATTTATGCTGAAAGTATCTCTGGAGAAGCTTTAATTTTTACCATGTGCCTGAATTTTGTACACAGGTTGCAATCTCACTTCAAATACGGTTTTAAACCTACTTCCTGAAGCCCCTGCAGCAAAATTTTCAGGTCATTGCTGCTTTTTTTTCCTGGATATCTTTAAAGCTTGAATTTCTAAAAACTGACATTCCAAGTATGATCCTCCAGGTATGAGTCTCCAGCTGATCCTTGTCTGGGAGGGTGGAAGAGGTGCTGTGGCTGCTTTACTATCTGAAGAGGAGTAAATTTGTGCCGGGGGACTAGACATGCTGATAGACCAACCTACTTTAGCTGCATTAGTTGCATGAAGACCAAGGCAGCCCAGGAGACCAGAGGAGAGGCTCGTGTGTTTCCAAATACAGAACGTCTTCCTCCTGTAAAATCAGCAGCTGTTGAAGAAATTGAGAGTCCGTGTAAGCAGATGACTGAGAGACTGCCCACTCCACAGCCTATTAGTAAAGAGGATGTTGGCAAAGTGGTTTCTGTGTTTTGCAGTGGCAGATTTGTCTCTTTTTGGACCCAGGAGCTGCATCTTCAGATGAAGCAAATTACTCATTTGTGCCAATTGAAGAGCTGATCAGGTCACTTGTCCTGGATGGCCAGAACACAACAGCTGTGATTTGCCAATGGTTTCCTGTTACTTGTGTGAGGAATATACTACAGCTAGCTGCATCACGGGAGCTATGGACTGAATGAAGCTTATGGGGTAAATTACTGATGTGATGTCTAATAAATAATGGGATGTTTCTAAATTTCCAGAGTGAAACTGTTGTCAGCAAAGGAGGAACTTCACATTTTGCAATGCAAATTATTTCTTTGTTTTGATGCTGTATAAAGCTGCATTCTGTTCATTAGCAAATTGATCAGAGTCCAAATGATTTTAATCAATGCTGAACTAGTGGTTTGTTAATCATCTACAGTGGATTCAATGGTTGCTCATGGTGTCCTATTCCACTCTCAGAAGGGAAAGCAGCACAGATTGATGTTCACCAATTTGATTTAGATTGAGAGTATAGCTGTAGGGGTATATTTTTTTTATATATATTAATAGTATGTGTATCAAGTAGTTTTATTATTCCTGCATATTTCAAATATAGCATATCAAAATTGTTTGGCTTCAGCTGTCTGTGCTCAAACAAAGCATTTCCTGCTGCCCTGTTGCAGAAGTGTGTCAGAGCCAGTAGCATGATCTACACGCACAGACCACAGAGTGAGAGATACGAGTTGAAAAACTGCTTAAAACTAATGACATAACTTTTTTTTAATCTCTGTGTGGCAACTGAATCCTGGGCACTAATTTTGGTTTTAATATAGGTTCATTAAAAAGACAAAAAATATCCTTGAGTATTTCTTAATGAGTTAGGAAAAATATGCATATTTGGGGGGGAAAAAAAAATTGACTTTATTAATTAGTAGTAAGGAAGATGTTGTTTTAGATCTTGACATGAAATTTTAACATGAAAAAGTAGTCAATAGTGTTGTCTACAAAGAAGAGAAGCTATTTTCAACAAGTTATAAATTACTACTATTTACTTTACAAAAATTTAATTACTTTTTTACCACATGATAACATGTCAGCACTTGTTCATGCCAGAACTGCATATTGTAAAATCCTGTTGGAATAATACTGTATGCATTTTTATCCTAGTAAACAATGCGGTGTAATATGTTATTTGATTTTTTTTTTATTATTATTATTTCAAGATATTTTTTCATAGACTTTTCCATTTATGTGTTTAAGGCAGTATTTCTTGTTTTAAATATCTAATTTAGCAGAAAACATTCAACTGGTTTTATACACACACCTTTTGTAGAAAATGGTAGCAATATTTCAGGGTTTTCTAACACTGTTTCTGCTCTGACTTAAGCTAATGGACAAAAGCTTATGTACCAGAATGATACTTTCTGTGCATAAAACACACTGTGAAATACCAGCCCTGTCATCAGTCTCCCCACTAAGAAACAGAAGGAAGGAAGCTTAACAAGAAATGACCTGTGAGTGGAAGAAATTGGAATACAATCCACGTTTTTGAAGCCTCTTGCCAAACTTCTACCCCCTGGTCCACACAACCCAAACTGAACAGTTCATTTTCATCCTGCCATGTGAAATATTTCAGGTGGCACATTATAGAAGTCTCTGGAGTACACTGTTTTTAAAAGATGACTTATTGTATCTGCAATGGTTTTTTTTCAGAGATGATAATATTCAGGCTGTTCTCCATAGAGGATATTTCCTGGCATGGCACGGTGCAGCAGTAAGCAGAGATACCTGGGCTAGCTGTGAACAATTTGCCAGGCTAATGCTGCACGTGTCCACCAGCCCTGTTAAGCGCTAATGGATGCGAGCTTGGATGGAGCACGGCACCACTGAGCCTGACTGGCTTCCCGGAACAGCATGGTCTGACTTGGCTGGGGTAACATCCATCTGAGACAGAAACAGGGGGATGCTACCTCAGATGAATCCTGCCTGGGATAATACTCTATTCCATGCAATGAACAGGAATTCATTATAAGTAAGTGAAACTGCTTACAGCTGCTGAAGTTATCTGTTTCCATTCCATGAGGTTTGAAATGAGGAAATCATCATTCTTTTGAAGCCTCTTGCATTCTAGAGAGAATTTTTATCATATCAGTTTTGGAACATTTAATAAATTGCACCTTGAAAAATTGAGTGAAAACAGCATTGGAAAAGTTAAGTACCTTCTGTTGAAAAATAACCCGTATTTTCAGAAAAAGAAAACTGAGCCTGAAACACTTCTGCCAACTTGGATGATCATTTATCTCCTGAAAAACAAAGATTGTCTGTGCTACTATGTGGTGAATGTATTTTATATTGCCATAACAATTCCTTGTTTGCTTTCTAAAGTGTTACAAATTTATGTGAGAAAGAAGAGCTTGTTTAAGTTAAGCTGTACAGTACTAAGCTGTTTAGCACAATGAAGTCCTTAGTTGGGATTGCCTCAATAAATAATACCTTCTTCCAAGTGACTATTCTGGTGTATTCCAGTAGTTTTTTATGTAATTTGGAAGGTGCTTTTGATTCATAAATGAGTACTTCCTGCAGGGCTATCTTCACTCGTTTTTTCCTGGCACTGCTAGCGTAGGCTCTGGTGCTGTATTCATATTTGGGTGTGTTTGAGAGGCACTCAGCTTCTGTGTGGTTCTGGTTTTGTCCGTTGGGCTTGGACACTGTGTTTCATTTTGTCCGCTTCTGGAAGCTCAAGCTCAGCCTCTTCCCTGTGTCACCAGGCCAGGCAATGCGGCAGCACCACCCTGTGGAAAATAATATTTCTCCTCATTTACAAGACACTAGGCAAGAACTGGAAGACAATGTTTGCACAGAGCATCCCCGGTTAGTCCAGCACAATCCTCCACAGCACGAAGAAGGTAAGGCACAAAAAATAGATTTCTTGCATCACTATGCCTTACAGTGAATTTCTTCACTGTGGAGAACACTGAGCCACTCTGACTCTTCATAAAAATTCAGGCTCACATTTTTCTCAAGATACTTTACTCCTTATTTCTTCAAGATTTGTTTTCCCAGGAGAGAGGCTTTGGTGGCAGGGTTCAGAGGGGAGCAGGGATGTGCCACCAGGGCTTCAGGAACCTGCACCACCTCTTACTTGAATTTTTGCCTGCTGCCATCTGTGCCCTTAGGAGGGTTCGGATGGAAATGATGCCAAAATTAGAAGCCTCAAGATTGAGGTTAAGTTGCCTAATATTCCCTTTTGCCCACACAGCTGAGCACACCACCATAGGTAGTCATCAGTTCCTGACTTCAGCTCTACTGTTGTTCCTACCAGCTTTCAGGAGGGGTGTGCCAGTCATACTCTCTCAGTCCTTCCTGTTCTCTTCCCTCCCCACTTTTTCCCTAGGTAGAGCCATCTTTGTTTATAAGATAAAAACTGGAAGATGGCTGGAAAACAAGGATGGATTTTGCCTTGGCCCTTTCTTAGGAGGAAAGTGCGGTTGTATGACGTACACTGTTAAGTTCCTGATCACTTTCACTTGTATTATGAAAGATTCTTTGAGGAAGAGCTGAGAGGGGAGAGTTTTCTTGATGTTTCATGATCTGGCATCATATTTTACATTCCTTCAGGCCTGTCATCCCACCTGTACATGAGATTGCTGTTGCAGGGGCAGGGATGCTCCAGGATGGTTGGAAACAAAAGTGCACATCCTTCCTGATGGGCTCTGTCATCAGTTTGATTCATTCTACGCTTCTGGCTAGGGCTCAGAAGTGTTTTGGATGTGCAGTGTCAGTTTTCTACGTGCACTGTAATCTATTATACCAAGGTACAATACTGTGCAATTAGGCTGGCCTGTTGTAAAGAATACTTTTAGTTGGATATTTGAAGACAATCATCTCCACCCATTCTCTCTGTCCTTTCAGCCCTTTCTTCTGCTCATGTAGACTCTGTGGGCCCTTACTCCTTTTCCCACATGCTCCTTGTGTTCTGCTGCCCCGTTCTCCAGTGCTCACGCGACTCTTTGCTCTAGCTGCGCTCTACCCTCCATGTCCAGTTCAGAACATTTCCTGTCTGTGTTTTCTATCCCTGGCTTGTTTCACAAGCATGGCTGCAGACAGACATCTCTGGCATCCCAAAGACTGCCTCTCTTTCCTCTCCAGACACTTGCTGTAGCAGTTCCTGAGTGTGCAGTTTTAGGTAAACTAGATGGATGTTGTTTTGTGCACAGTTTAATTCTTTGCTGCAACACCTCTTAAGCCAGCTTTGCTGAGAGCTTGGGAAAATAAATGGGGCTATCTCCTGACCCTTTCATATCCTGCCAAAACTTTATCCCTGTTACTTTTTCGAATGGCCATTTCCCTTTCTTCAATCTAGTAACATGGGAATTGGTCAGCAGAGAGATACCAGAAGCAACAGTTGATGGATGCAATGCTCTTTAATAGGTCTCAACAATAATACATATTTTTGTAAGCTTTCCAGTGACCTAGCCAAACAGTGGTTATTTTTCATAGTTAAACAAAATACCAGATAGTAAACTGAACATGTCTTCAACAAAACTTTCTTCTAAATAACACTAAAAGAAGAAATGTTTTAAATATTTGAAAAAACATCAGAAATTCCATTTGTGTATTAGCATGCCTTCCAAGTGGTTAGATGAAATAGTACAATGATTCCCTTATCTTTTTCTCAGTAGAAGGTAAGATCTGATTTCCAGCTTAGAAATTCTGTGTTCTACAGATCATCAGTTAAACATAAACTTTATACCAGCATTAGCATTGATAACTTAGCTATTAGTTATATTAGCTACTTAGCTATTATGTAGTCTTTCCAAGCATGCTATTAGTGAATGAACAAACAAATGAACTATCATCAACTGCAGTGAGTCTGTTGAAATGTCCTTGGGTTTGGGGTTTTTTGTGGTTTTTGGTGTGAAGGATTTTTAGAAGCTTTAACTTGAGATGGAAAGCCGTAGGTCATATAATGCACTCAGATATTCTTCATTGTTGGGATACAATGCAATGGCTTTCTCATAGCACTCAATTGCTTCATGTTTCTCACCATTTAGATTATGAACAAATCCAAGTGTACCGAAATCATTTGCATCTCCTACACCTCTCTGAATTCTCTGTTCCAACAATTTCTTCAGATAATTTCTGCACTGTTTTCTTGCATAAGAATCTTCTTCAATTTTCAGCCCTTCTGTGTAATACTTAATGGCTTCAGATTCTGATTTCATATGAAAACGCTGAAAATTGCCATACTGGTAGTAGAACTCTTGTTTATCGTTATTGGATAGAATATTTATCTGAAATGCTTTCTGAAACATCTCTTCTGCTTCTTCATACCTCTTTGCTTCCGCATACATATTTGCTAGATCAACAGAAGCAGAAAAAAATTTTGGTCTTTGGTCAATTCCTGTTTTAAAATGAAAAATGGAAAGTCGTATGAGTTCCTCCACTTGCTTTTGAGGTGGAAATCTTGTAGTTCTTTTCAATTGAAACAGCTTCCCTCTGTAGCAGAGTCCTAGCTGGTGATGCAAAAAAGCAGATTTTGGTGTCACTGCTAGGGCCTTTTTCAAAATCTCCAGTGCCTTGTCCACTTCTCCTTTCCTTCTGTAAAATTTAGCAGCATATCGCAGGAAATGAGGAAAATCAGGGGTCTCCTGCATTGCTTCTGCAATGTATCTCTCCCCTTCACCAACTTGGTTCAAGTCCTGAAGTTTTAATGCAAGTAATGCCATAATGAAAGTGTCCTTTGGATTCAGTTCCACTGCACGCTTCAGGGGCTCAATGGACGGGCTTACCTCTTCACATCGTCTGGAAGCAAAATCTTCCAAACGATACATGGCTATTGCATAGCCAGCATTAAATGTCGGGTTGTTGGGTTCATTCTTCAGAGCATTTTCAAAGCAATTCTTTGCTCTCTCATAGTATTTTGCCCCAAACTTTAATAATGACCATCCTTGCTCAGCATAGATCTCTGGAAGCTTAATCTTCCATTGAGCAGTACTTGAAAGCTTTTTGCAACTGTTTTCCACTTTGCTTACATAAGTTTGAGCTTCTTCATATCTCTCCATGTGGTAATAGATCCAGGCATAGTTTCCCCAGGTAACAAGACTTCTCCTGGCAATTTCATCTGGATAATTTTTTTTAACAACTTCTTCAGCTTTTTGGAGATTTCTCAGGGCTTTCTCATTTGAATTCATTAGGTGGTACACATAGGATAGTAGATTATAATTTGTGGTGTTGGATTCTATGAAAAACTCTAGCTGATAGCCTATTGTTTCCTCTAAGTCATCGAGATCCACATCCTCCTTCAGCAACGCCCATGTAAAATGACATTCTAGTTGCAGCAGTGAGCTCTTCAAGGAATTCTTGGAAATGGCACTGGAATAAATAAAAGAAAAATTTACTTATACTCTATTTGCTTTTTGCTACTCTTGTTTTAAAACAAGACATGATGTACTTCAAAAGCAGGCACTACCTCTGCTAGTGCCACTAGTCAACAGTACTTCAAACAAGCCAGAGCTGGGGGAAGACATAGGTCTAAAGAGACGAATAATTATTTTAGTAATTCTCTTTGCCAGTGTATGAGGGCACCTCTTACATAGCAATAGAACTCGTGGTCTGTCTGTCAAAGAGGAGGGCTAGTCTCTGTGGTAGAGCTGGCACACCTCTGGGCCTCAGGAACATATTTCTTCTGCTGGGAACAATTGTTGAAGCCTACCCAAAAGAAGTAATCAAATAAAAAACTTCCCCAAAATATAGAGAAAGTGATATAGTACCTTTCTGATGTCGGTATATTTTATGGTTTGGATTATAATTTTATTTTTTTATTTCCTGCATTTGTAAATGCTTGTTTGTTAGGTCATAGCACCATTTTTATGTTATGATTATACCAGTGTATCCAATAGCTGGCTCTCAGATCCCACCAGTCTCTCCAACTGCTAGCACTCGGGTGTACAGCCTTTTGAGGGTGCAACCCAACTCCATTTCTGGTACATGTCACTCACTCACTCACTCACTCACTCACTCAACCCTATGGTTAACCCTCACTAACCCTGAGAAGCTGGCTTTGGACATCCTGTAGCTGGTCAGGGATCCTCTCTTTATCCAGGTACCTCACCCCTACAGACAGCCAGACAGACCGACACACATACACACACACACACAAGCATACCGACCGGACCCTGTTTATATACGAGTGGTCCTTAATACCCCTTTATCCCTCTCTATTTTTCAACATTTGTTCCTTTCTGAAGCACCCAGATCCTTTGTTTCCCTGCCTTTGGTCCCCTTCCCAAACATCCCATAATAAATCTCATACAATCCCCAAATCCTTTTCCCTGCATCCTGTAATGTGTCCCATATCCCTCACTAGTTCAGACTATAAGGCACTCCCGTGGACCCCTGGTGCTGAGTGTCCCCTGGGGCAGCCCTGGGAGGACTGGGTTGGGGGCTTGTGTCCCTGACTGGGGCACTGGGGTCCTCCCACCTGCCTCTGTGCTTCTATGCTCCTCCGGGTGTGTGAGGAATGGCTCTTGGGATGGGGCTAGGAGCAGCCAGGGAAGGGTGTTATTTGGATTCTTCCTCCTGCCGTTGCCTGCCCAAGCCCCTCTGTGGGTGTACAGACCAGCTTTTATCACACAATCTATCAGCAACAAACCTTTACAGAGGAGATAACACTTCAGTCTGTATTGTGCTCTCCCTTAAAGAAGGAATTATGCATGACTTTATAACTGAGGCTTCTCAGTCAAATCCTATTTTGTTAGAAAGACTTCTCTGTTTTCCCTCCTGTAAAACCTAGTCTAACAGCCTGCATGGTACATGTGCTGCTGTTCAACTGCACAATCATGTAAAAAAGAAGATGTATTTTGGGTAAAAAAACAGTGAGTGGAAAGACTGGAAAATTTGGAGGAGGAAAATCAAGGAGGAATCAGGAAGCAATTCTTACAGGTTCTGGGACGGTGGGAAGCGCACTGGGGAAAGCAACACTAAGTACACATTTCCACCCAAACCACCTGACACAGGTACTGAAGGAAGGTCAGACAAAAAAAGGTATTTATAAATGCTGTTATTGCATAAGTTTGTCTTACAGATGAATTCGCCTTTCTCAAATAATCTTCTCTGCCTAACTGACAGTTTTGATTGGTATTAAGTACAGTTCCTAGTCAGAAAGCTGTATGTGAGGCAATTAGAGTTGTTCTGGGATGAAGGAGAAGTGAGATTAAGTTCCTGTTATTATCACTGTCTTGTTAGAAACCTTTGGCTACAGGTCAGTACCACAGAACAGATATTGTCTCCCAAATCAGCAGAAGCTTGAAGCATTTAAGTAGTCCCACTCAATTAAAAATGAAACGTGTGTTAGTTTTCATTGCCTCAGCTGAGAACCATGATTATGCCATGGCTGAAAACAACAGTGGACAGTAATTAATGAAAAGACATTTGTGGAAAAATTAATATTAATGAATGTCACAACAACAGGTTTGTGATACGGATTAAATAGTTTAGCTTAGTTCAACATGTAACTGGTAAATGCAATTTCCAAAGTTGTCATAAACATCTTGGCTTTGCCCTATGTGAGTGTGTGTGTGTGTGTGTGTGAGTGCCTCTGTGTATGTGTGACAGTCTTCAGAAAACATTACTCCCCCACTTAGGCTCCAAGCTGTAGCCCAGAACCTGCACTGTGTCCTGTTTGCTGGTCCTTGAGCAGAAAGTAAATTCTCAAATGCATCAGTGCCAGTCACCCATCTGGCTGTGCACAAGCTATGGCTGCAGCCTGGATTTCATCCCTGAGCTGCATGCACACAGTTTTTCCGACTGTCACTTCTGTTCACAGAGACTGTCTTGTCAGACAATCAATAGTATTACAATATTCAATGGTATCTTTATTTTATTTTCATTCTTCCAGTAAATATTCTGTAAAATATTTCCTGCTGTTTGGATCCCCAAAGTCCCTCACTGCTTACATTTATGTAAATAATAAGCATTACTTTCCTGTGGCATGGCAAAAAAGCATCTTTCAGAGTCTGGGTTGCTCACTTACCTCATGGTTCTCCTTCTCTGCTCACTTGTCTTAAGGTAGCTTCAAAACCAAAGGAGTCCTGCTCACTGTTGCTATGACTTCTCTTTTATGTGCTCCAGCCCTCATGTGATCTGTGAGTTATTCAACAAGAACCAGAAAGTGAAACTTGCTTATTTCTGAATCTGCAAAAGGAGCTGGAACAGCCGCCAGTAGGGGAATCGAAACTTAGTCCTTAAGCTGCTTTTTTTCAGCCTGGCTCTGTGCCATGTATTACATTGTGTTGTGGAGAATGTGGCAACAGATCCTAATAGCTCCCGGCGTTTACTTTGTTCAAATCCAGAGGCATCTACGATAAGGAGAATATTTCAGGCTACTATAGGCTGACCTGGTTATCATGCATAGGCTCACGAAAGGTCATTTCCCCTCCTGCCTCTGCTGATCATCTTCGCACAATTTTGCACCAGGCTTTAGGCTCCTGTTTTATTGGTAATGTGTCATCCACACAACGTTTCCACAACGTCTTATCACCCCTGCCTGCACTCCTCTACACCCCATCCTGTGTCTCCACAGGGCAAGGTCTCTGCTGTTATACCAGGTCTGTATTTCTCTGCGCTATGTCATTGTCTTAGAGTCCTAAATATCTCATGCCACATAGAACAACTGCTTGTTGCTGCTCTCTACATAAAACTGCAGTTGTACTGTGCAAACATAAACAACAGTACAGCAAATGAGATACAGACACCTGATCAATTCAAGAAATTGCTGTCATAGTTTCACCAAGCAAAACAAAGCTACAGGCAGGTCAGGACAAGCTCCAACAGAGTAACAAAGAGATCAAAGAAATAGTATCTAACATATGTAAATAGAACTATATATAGATATAGAAAACTCAGATGTAACCTGAAGCTGCAGACCAGTGAAGAAAGAGAAATGTGTAAAAGCATGTTAACAAACATATAAAAATGACCCAAAGTGGATCCCGGGGAGAGGAAGAAGAAACCACCAGCATTAGCATCATGTTTCTTCCAAGAAAGGATGCCAGTGTTTGATGATGGTCTGTTTTATCCTCTCCAGTAGTCTGAAGATACTGATCCAAATGCCCAAAGGAATCATCTCTAGGGGAAGGAATAGAAACTAAGAAGTGTGTGTGTGCAACAATTTTAACCATAATTTTGCTATTATTGTGACTTTTTCTGTAAGTACTTTGTTATTACTCTTTCTCTTTTTGTAATAAATAGATATAGACTAATAATGATTCTTGCATTAGACTAAGAATTTAATTATACTAACACAAAAAATCTTGTCTTTACCTGTATAAGGTTTAATTCCTCTTTATCCATAAACAAGATTTTTTAAGGAACATCACAGGACCTCTCTCCATTCTTGAACCCATTCTCACTTGGTGCATATGGGAAAATGCAGGAATTTTCCTTCTGGAATGCAAAAATCTGTGCTAGTAGCCATATTTTTACAAATTTAGTTGCATCTGTATGCTTTAACACATATTCCTATTGAATAGAATAAGTGCAGAAAAGTGCTTAAAATACAGTAAGTATAAGTAAGAGAATAGTTATGCAATGCCTTCTGCAGCCATCTTTGCAACTCACTAGGCACAGCAGAGGAAAATTCAGAAATACTTCTACAGCCGTGCTGCTTTCACTTCGGGGAAAGCTGCGGCTGGGCCAACTGGCATCGGGGAGAGCTGCACTGCATTGCAGCAAACACAAGAGCTTCTTGGAAAACATTTGTCCAGAAATGCGCTGGAAACAATAACTGCATTCATATTTAATTAATATGACTTTGTTTACTCGAGTGTTCTGTTACATACACAGGAACAGGGAATAGCTTCAAAAATATCTACACATTTTTGAGAGAAAACTCATATTGGTACATTTCCTTGGAGCTGAAATGGATACCTGCTGACAAAGAATTCTCACCTGGCAGGATCAGCCCAGCCAAACCATGGCCTGAAATGCAGCTTTCATTATTTAAATACTGTAAATGAACTATACTGCAGTAAATGACAAGATCCACTTTAAATATCCTATTCTATGCTGGTTTCAATTTAGCCTAGTTTAGCATGGAATTACTATGTTTGACAGCAGCAGTTGCGGCATTTTATAACTTGGGTTTTCCCCTAGGGGGGAAGAGTACCCTGTAATTAATTTTACAGAGAACCCAAGTGAATCACTGAGCAATATTTTTGCTACTCAAGTTCTTTAAAACAAAACGACCCCAAGAAATGGGAACCAGGAAAGCAACGGGTTGCATAGTGTCACTTGTATTGACTGATGTATCCATGTATCCAAACAAGGGAATGTTATGAAAACTTCAATGACTTTTCAATTAAAATCTTAATGCTTTCTAAATAAACAGAACCATGGATGTTCTTGATGCACTCCTGCTCTACCACAGTGTATTTTATATCAGGTGTCTGTATTACTCTGAAGATATTACTATGGATGTAGTAAGATGAATATTTATCTTATGGGATTCAATCTGTTCCAAGTTTTTTGTGAGCCTGGCCAAAGACACACTTCTCGTCATGCAACACAGCGCCAGTCAGGTGCTTCAGAGCATGAAGAGAAAACAGGCTTGCAGGAAGCTGATGATAATAACCCAGCTGGAACTGTGTGCCTGCATGTAACTTAAGCGCACTTGTATTACGTTTGACATATTTAGACTATGCTCAAAGATGATGGAGAGATGATCTACTTGTGTAAGAGTAACCGTGACTGCTGACACCGCTTTATAGTCCTTGCAAAGGACCGGCTCTTCCCGAGGTGCGGGTGTCCAGCACGCTGGGGAGGCACCGCCCGGGGCTGCTCCCGCTGCGGGGAGAGGCGGCGGGGAGGCGGCTTCCCCCTCTGCTCGCTGCCGCTGTCTCCCGGGAGACTCCTGCGGGCTCTGCGGCGGGACAGGACGCCCTCGCAAGGCGGCACTGGGAGGATTCCGGAGACTT